AACTTGCAACTTCATATGCTAAAATTAAAATCCTCCTAAATTTAGCATGAATTATTGGTTACACCCTTAAACTATTTATAATTTTAATTAGTATTCCCCTGAACTTGGTATTCGATAGACTCTACCTCATTAAATAATCTCATTTCAGAAAAGTGACATGCACGCACCTGACACATGAATTTTTCTACCAATGTAATATTTTTAATATAAAATATACTTTTTATTTTTTAAATATATTAATTTCTTAGATCATCTTTTTCGAATAATATTTGTAATACAGCTTGGCTAGAACTCCATAATTTAGGTAAAAAAAATTATTTGGATAAAATTGATGAAGATTTAGTTAAATTCATTTAAAATTTATCTTGAAATGAAGAAATACACCGTTAAAACAAGTAGTCATACATGTAAAAGATGATATAAAAAAATACATAATTTGAACTTTATTATTTGGGCTAAAAAATTTTATTTAACTAAATTATGAAGCTCTAAGAAAGTTTTTTTTTACAAATTTTGCCCAAAAAGATATACAATGACAACAACAATAACAAAAAGAAAACTCAGTGTAATCCCACATGTAAGGTCTGGGGAGGGTAGTGTGTATGACGACCTTACTCCTACCTTTAAGAAGGCCGAGAGGATATTTTCGGTAGACCCTCGACTAAGGAAAGATAAAAGGAAGGGGAAATAATAAGAAGACCAATTGAAAAATCGTAGCCAAAATAAAACTAATACTAGATTCCAGGGTCTGCGTCCAACCTCTAACTTCTTGTTAACACCACCTCACATCTCGTCAATCAGTACAATGTCATCTGCAAATAACATGCACCATGGCATCTCCCCTTGAATATGGGGCATCAGTGTGTCGATCACCAGAGCAAATAGAAATGGGTCTGAGGGCTGACCCCTGGTGCAACCCCATCACAATTGGAAAGTGTCCCGAACCCCTCCCACTGTTCTCACTCGAGTCTTAACTCCAACATACATTCCTTAATAGCCCTAATGTATGTAACATGAGTACTTCTAGCCTCCAAATATCTCCATCGATACTTTATTATAAGCCTTCTCTAAGTCGATAAAGACCATATGTAAATCCCCCTTCCTCTCCCTATACTGCTCTATCAACCTCCTAACAATGTGAATAACTTTTATAATCAAACATCCCGACATAAATTCGAATTGGTTCTTAAAATAGACACAATTCTCCTCACCCCTAGATCCATCACCCTTTCTCAAACTTTCATAGTATGGCTTAGTAACTTGATACCCCGATAGTTGTTGCAATTTTGAATATCATCCTCGTTCTTACATAATGGGATCATTGCACTCCATCTCCATTCTCCAGACATCTTCTTTATCTTAAAAATGACATTAAATAACCTGATGAGCCACTTCAAGCTTGCCATGCCCATACTCTTTCAAAATTCCACCTGGATTTCGTCAGGCTAGTCCGCTCTCCCCTGCTCATATTGTGCATAGACCCCTTTACCTCCTCAACTTTTAAATGACTATAATACCCAAAGTCCCGACGACTCTCTAAGTGTTCTAAGTCACCCAGCACAATGTTTATATCCCTCTCTCAGTTCAAGAGTTTATGAAAGTAAGTCTGACATCTCCGTCAAATAAGTGCATCATCCAACAAAACTCTGCCTTCCTCATCCTTGATGCACTTCAATTGGTCCAAGTCACATGCCTTTTTTCTCGCATCTTGGCTAGCTTATACAACTTCTTGTCTCCTCCTTTGCCTCCCAGTTCTTCATACAAGCGTTCAAATGCGACAGTCTTAACCGCTGTAACTGCTAACTTCACTTCCTTTTTAGCTATATTATACCGCTCCCTATTCGTCCTCTTCTCTTCCTCATCCACGCTCTCTAAAAACTTCAACTATGTCGCTTTCTTGGCTTCTACTTTACCTTGGACCTCAGTGCTTTATCACAAGCCCCTTATAGAGTCCACCAGAGGAGCCCTTTGAGACCTCCAATACCTCTCTAGCAGTCTCTCTAATGCAATTCGGAGTCGCATTCCACATACCACTCGCGCCTACTACTCCTTCATGCCCCCATAGTCAACAATCTATCCCCAACTCCTAAGATCTGTCGTTAACTAAAGCTCCCCACTTGATCGTAGGTAAACCAAACATAACCCTCTTTCTTCGCTTCCTCATAATCTCCAAATCCATGATTAGGAGCTTATGCTGGGTCCTGAAATTCTCGCTCAGGGTGACGTTGCGGTCCACACACAGGCCTTTATCAAATTTTATGAAGAGTAGATAATCCCCAAAGAAATAGGTATAGCATATAACAAAGAGAAGTACACAACTAATATAAAATAACTATAGCATATAACAAAGAAATAAAAGAGAAGTATATAATTGCAAGATCATTATTTTGGCTATATTTTCTTTTATTTAATAAAAAATAGTGGAGCTATAGCCAAGTTCTTTTATTGATTTGATTCGAAAATAAAAATACACAATTGAAATAAATAGTTATAGTATTATCTAATAAAATAACGAGAAATAACAATTGGTACTCTATTGTTTTAGTTTTAACTTTTTATTTGGCTAAAATATGAATTTCTAGTCAAATTTTCACAAATTTGACTCGATGAAAAAGAAATAACAATTATAATAACTAGACATTATATCTATACAAGAAATTAATAAAAATAAAAGAGATTGTATCCCAACAATATTCAGGAGGGTAATGACTATCAAATACCTAAGTTCAATGGGGTAATTAAATATCAAATAATTTAAGGGTACAACTAATAATTCATGTCAAGTTTAGGGTTTTTAGCTATTCCGCCAGTTTGTATTCACAGAAAGAAGGAGAAAAATAAAGGAAAAATGATACTGTATAACAACTCTCAAAGCTCTGAGAATAGAAGTGGTTCATTTTGTTTCTATAAGCAATTCAAGATTTTCTTTGTCTTATGTTGGCGATTTCTGATGTGAATTCTGCGGGATGTCCCCCCTTTCTATGGGTTCCCCCACCAACCCAGTGACACACCAACCACACCCCTTCTCTTTCTCCGATCATAAATTCCCATGATCCCTTTATTTGTCTTTCATCCCCCTGAATAAGTAAGACTCCGCTCTTTCTGATTCATATATATATATATATATATATATATATATGTGTGTGTGTGTGTGTGTGTGTGTGTTATATACAAAAAATATATAAAATTTATATATTTTTACGGCTATAAGATATAATAATTTTTTGCCGCGGACGAAAAGTGATTTTTGCCCGAAAACAAAAGGAATTTTTTCCTTCCTATATAATATTTGAAACTTATTTACCAAATTGTCCAAGTTTTGTATATTACCGGTCCTAAACAAGTTTTTCTTACAATTTATATACAATCCATTATTAGTGGATTAAATTGAGGGATTCAGTTATACTTTTTTCCTTTTTTCTCTCCTCTCCTCTTTCCCTATCCTCTAACTAGTGATGACCGTAACTTTGGTATTAATTTTCATACCAAAATTTAACTAAGTTGTTCCGATCAAACCCCACATTCTGATATCTAAACAACAATTACTCTAAATACCCAATAGAAAAAACATATCCCCAACTACGTGATGCACGTATTTACGGTGTATTACACAAATCTAGGGTTAAATTGCACAAATAAAATATAAATTAATATTAGAGAGAGGTGATGATAAAAGATTTTTTTGCCATATTACCAGAGAATGATGATGCGCAGTTATATGTATATACAATATAAAACTTGTACAATAATCTGGGTGGAATGTATAGGTAATTTTCTGTATTTACATACAGTATTTCTATAAGAATCACTACTTTTGATGGAGGAGTGAGAAAGAGGAGAGAGAAAGGCTTGTGTAATGTGATATGTCCATCTTTATGATACATCTATAACAATATACTATAAACTTAATACAAATTTCATACAAGTAATTATATAGTATACAATTTATTTACAACTTTCGTACATTATTTTTACCCAGGTAAATACAACTACAACATCATACAACTTAAATATAATTTTCATACAAATTTTATACAATATGTCGTTTGTCTGTATTTTGTATATGATTTGTATATATTTTGTAAGTGATGTGGTCTTCCTCTCTAAAATTCCAATCAAAACTTCAATCTCTTAAAACAATTTTGATACATATCAACAACTTTATGTAAAATGATATTATTTATAACTTAAATACAAATTTAATACAATGATTCATACATTATACAACTATTTTTCAACATCCATATAACATTCAAATAAAAAAAATATAATTACAACATAATATAACTTAAATAAAATTTACATACAACTTTAATACAATTTCGTAAGTATATTGTATGTCATGTGTTCTTCTTTTCTTTCTTCTTCGAGTTTCAATCTGAAATTCTGCCAAAATCAAGTCTAATCTTCACCAAACACCCTTAAAATTGAGATATAAATTTCAAAGAATATTCCCAATTATTTGCAACAACATCCAATCCAAACAAATAATAGTTTTGAAAACTCAAATTCGAAATCATAGTTTTGAAGCTTTTTAATGGCTGTCAATGGTGGAGAATCAAACGCTTTCAGAATTTATTGATTGACAATTTTAATTCGAACACTAATTGTAAAACATGAAAGAAATTGCTGAAAAAAGAGAGAATAAAAAGCGGAGAAAAACGAAGGAAGAAAATTGGGAAAATAACTGATAAAGATAGAAAGAGAGAGAGAAACGGAGAGAGAGAAAGAGAGACGGGGAGAGATAAAGAGAGAGAGCGGTGATGGGAAATAAATAAATTCCTATTCAATTCATAATAATATAAAGGGATACTTATTAGTACTAATTGTATATAATTGGTAAATTATATATGCCCATGTAATTAAGTTAAAACTTAATCAGGGAGGGTAATAAAGTTTCGTATATAGCATAGGAAAAGTAAAAATCCCCAAAACGAATTACATTGGGCCGTGGCGTTGTTCGATTAGTGACTTCATATTCCCACCCATAGAAGCCCAAAAGCTGAGTCGGACCAACCCTTATCATTCTGTAGGGTTTTTACTGTAAAATTCCATTCCCTCTTCTCTTTCTCGGCTAAGCTTTCTGTAAACCACAGTTCCAGCTTACAGGTTCGAATCTTTTCTTCTTCAAAATTGGTGTTTGTAAAACCGCTGAAGTATTTGTTGATTTATTCTCGATCTGATTTTTTATTTTTGTTTTGAGTAATTGCAGCTCATTCTATCTCCGTTTCTCGAAGAATTTTTTGAAGAAGTATGGCGTCCCGTTTTTGGACTCAGGTAAATGATTTTTTCACCTCAATTAAAGATTCAGTTCTTTCTTTATGTGTTTGGATGAGTAAAATAATCTATTCACCAATTTACAGTGGTAAAGATATATTTTTTTTGATAACTATTGATAAAGATATTTTTTAAAATTAATTTATGAGAACTCTAGTGATAGATAATCCTAAATTATTGAATATTGGAATGAATCTGCTCTATATAGAGCTAAATGGATAATGATAATTCATATAGCCGATCCCAGCTAGCTTTTGATTGAGGCATAATAAATTGTTATGTGATTGTACTTGCATCTGGTTGTTTTGAATTGGATGTAAGAAGTGCCCGAACATAAAGAATGGATACTTGCATCTGGATGTTTTGAATTGCTTTCATAATCCAATTATTCAATGTCTAAGTGACCTTTGGATACAAATCACGATAATCCGTATTTGTTCACACTTTTTGCCAGCTATTCTGCTGAAAAGCAATTTACTTGTTTGTGTTAACAGTGTGATGTGAAATATAATCTTAAACTGTTCAGAAGGAATTGCTTAGTGAGCCTAGAAAATTTAAGGTGCTGTGAATGAGTGGTTTGTTTTTGTATATGGCAGTCTGTTGGGGATAGCTCATTCTGCATAAAGTATAAGGGTTTAGGGAAGGTGTTATTTAATTGATTCATACTATGGTATTTGCAGGGCGATAGTGAAACCGAGGAGGAGGAGGAGAGTGATTACGAGCAGGAGGATGATGAAGGGCCGGCTGAGACTACCACTGCAGCAGCTGGGTCAAGATACCTTGCAGCTGGTGACAGCGACAGTGATGAGTCAGATGGACAGAAGCGAGTTGTCCGGTCAGCAAAGGATAAGCGCTTTGAGGAATTGTCTGCTACCGTTGATCAGATGAAGAATGCTATGAAGATTAATGACTGGGTCAGCTTGCAGGAGAGCTTTGATAAGATCAACAAGCAGCTGGAGAAGGTCATGCGCATTACAGAATCGGTTAAAGCACCAAATCTCTATATCAAAGCTCTAGTGATGCTGGAGGATTTCTTGAGTCAGGCTTTGGCCAATAAGGAGGCAAAGAAGAAGATGAGTAGTAGTAATGCTAAAGCCTTAAATTCGATGAAACAGAAACTGAAAAAGAATAACAAGCAGTATGAGGAGTTGATTAACAAGTACAGGGAAAATCCTCCCGAGAGTGAGGANCAAGCAGCTGGAGAAGGTCATGCGCATTACAGAATCAGTTAAAGCACCAAATCTCTATATCAAAGCTCTAGTGATGCTGGAGGATTTCTTGAGTCAGGCT